AGCAATGCCAGTCTCCAAACAATATTTCTCCTGAACGTTCATCTATCGTTTACGCCGGAAGAAATACACCAAGCCCTGAAAACTACAACCAACTCCACGATCCATGCAGTCCACCGCATCCAGTCTAAAAAAAACAGGTTTACCCTCCACGTTTATGAAAGTTGTCACAACTTCAAAACATACAGCAGATTTCATCCTCACCCACGGCTGCTTCCTTGATTATCATCACTTCAAAGCAGAAAAACCTTATCGCAAGCCTCACCCACCCCATACCTTTCCTAACCCACTCTCCAAGCCCACGTTTCACAACACCCAGAAGAAAACCGCCGCCAACAGTACTCTACCGCCCATCCTAAAACAACAGACCAAGCTACTCAAACCTCACCCACTCCTGAAACACAAGATATGTCCACTCAAACCACCACTACCAGGAGGAAAAAAAGGCACCCAGACCCAGCCACCACTTACCATCGACTCCTATCAACAAACCAACAACACGCCTCCCAGCCCCAAGCCACTTTCTACATCATCAGCGTCTATCTCACCGAACGCCTTAGTAATCGACACCTCCTCCGATTTCTACCTACCCAACGAACCTTTCACAGTCTTCCGCTCACTCACCAACGACACCGAGAACTCCACGCCTTTACCACCTGCCTGGAACCAGAAACTGTGCCATTTTAAAACCTCGATAAACTCCAAGAGACTCCACAACAGTTTCAAAAACTAATCAACCCCCAGCACCAGACTTCACTTTGCCTTCCCTACTTACTTCTTCTCATTAATCGGGCACTGATAACGAATCAGTTGTTACCAGTGAAAGTGGGTTTTCTCGGGGTACTCCCGTTTCCCCCACACTAAATTCTCGGCATAGGATTTTTATATCCCCGCCGCCCTGATGGAACATCTGTCCAATAGCGGCTGTTTAGTTTATTTTAGTTTACTTTGCTCTTCACTTTTTTATTGTCTACAATTACTCTCTCTTTATCTTTTTAAAACTACATACCTCGTCTGCATTAATTTCCTAATTTCTCAAGCTAAGCCCATATTCCTAGACCACGAGCGGAGTGAAGGAGGATTGTTTAATCTTCGAGCACCAAAGATTAGTAATTATTTCTTCGGAAATAATTATTTTTAAAACTAAATAACTGCCAGGAAAAACGAAACGAGACAATTAATCGGAATTGAATTGCAGACAGAGAGAGATAGAGACGGACAATTGAGTCAAGCGCGGTTGTGACATGAGTAAAGTGCGTGAATCGTTGTGAATTATAGGGTGTGTTTAAGTTAAAGAGACTGTGGAAATTAAGTATATTGCAGAGTTGAATTGATAAAGAATAAACTCGTTTTATTTAAGAAAAGACTTGTATCCTGAAGTTTATCGGAAAGAATTTCTACAAAAAAATTAACAAACGACCAGAGACGTAAAAATATAATAGAGTTAAGCGATAACAATGGAAAGTAATACACCTATCCTTCCACACGATATGTCTATGTGAGTTTCCTTTCTTACGTGGCGAATTTATTAAAGCCTACTGTAAAATTCTTAATATATTACCACGTTTTTCCAAGTAACATTCTAGGTTCTCATACACTTCGTAAACGCCATTACAATATCTGTGTAATATTTTTATTTTTCTCAAATGTGTTTTGCAGAGATAAACATGCTTTATTTGGACCCTGATTATAGTCGTTGAAGAAAGCCAGTCGTAATTTAACATGTTATTCGAACTTTTAGAATTACATTAATCAGTCCTGTATCTGTAAACAGATCTATTCAAAGTAACATGAATATTTCAACATATTTCGCTTTAAAAACTTGACTATTTTATGTACCTGTTATCTATTTATTAATCTTGTTTTCCTATTGCATTTTATTCAAAAAAGTATTTCAACCAAATTCAAACAAGTTTGGAGCATATTATGCAGTGTTTGACACAAATCCAAGAAACAACTAACAAAAAGGTGATGGTGTGTGTTTCTAATTAAGCACAAAGCTACACAATGGGCTATCTGTGCTCTGCCCACCACGGGTATCGAAACCCGGATTTTAGCGTTGTAAATCCGCAGACATGCCGCTGTGCCACTGGGGGGCCGGCGAAGGTGAACTTCATTAAAAAATAACGGAATTCAACAAGACAGAGTTGATTCATCCTACGTCATTTATTCAAATGAAGTGGTGTTACACGTGAAGTATGCATGAATAAATTTACATAATAATCTCATCACTTTTGTATACGTTGCTATTATTGAAATTTATGGTATTCAACAGTATTTGTACTTGAATTTCTTGAGGTGTTTAATAAAGCTGCACCAAATGATAAATAATTACAATGGTGTTGGGAAGACAGAAGAGATATGTATGAAAAGAACTTACGCTCTGAAATTGAGCTCAATGAAGAAATTTCTGTAGAAAATAATTCATTTAATTCTTATGATATACAGAGGGTTGAGTACGCTGTGTTAAAACGATATGCAAATCAGCAGGTCACGTGAAAACCACAGCCGAAATGAAATCTTGGTGGAAGGTATGCATGATAACATTTTGGTATTGTCTGGGTTTCGTGGGTGTTGTGATACCCCTGAAAATTGATCATTTTTGGTATAATCATAAGTATATCTGCAGATTGGGGATTTGGAAATTCCAATAATTAATACCATTGAAAACAGCAACTTCTGCCAAACAGAAAAAAATCTGCAACAAGTCGTATCCCAGGCGTGGTGAGCAAGTTAGTAGCAAAAGCTGTTCACGTTCCCCGGGCATATAACCCAGATAGACTGCTGTACCCAAATTGCTTCCAAGACACATGGTCCAACTGTCATATACCTCAACACCTGGAGAATGAGTATTTGTGTTATTAATTACGAAGACATATCGGTAAAGTCGCAAGATGCAGTACCTATGAATTTCTGTGCGATCGAACTGTTGAAACGGGCGCTAGGAAACCGTTGTCCTCGTATACGAGGGGTGGAGTGATGCCGGATCATTGTTCCGGCACCTGAACTTGGAGCTTAGTTTTGGTACTTTAAAACTAAAGATATGTATGTAAAAACGTTTTCAATTTACCTTTAAGTTAACCAAACGCTTAACCATAAATCGCTTTTTCTTTAGCTATTCGTGTTGGCAGGGTAGAAGGTATGCAAAGCATTATAAAAATCAAGGTTGTTAATACTGTTACGTCTCTGGTCGTTTGTTAATTTCCCGTATAATTTCTTTCGGATGAAACTTTAGCGATACAAGTCCTTTCTTAAATAAAACTAGTTTATTTTTTCTCAATACAACTTTGCAATACACTTAATTTCCACAGTCACTTTAACTTAAACAGACGCTATAATTCCCAACGATTCACGCACTTTACTTACGGTCACTACCGCGCTTGACTCAATTGTCCGTCTCTATCTCTGCCTGTCTGCAATTATCTATGCCGTCACTTCATTTGCCGGCTTATATATACAAAAATAGAGGGCGCGTAGAAAAGACTAGAGTTGCCGGGAACAGACATGATCCTTCTAGAATCTCATGACGTGTTACTAGCGTCACGTGACTTCCGCTGTCGTGACAATACTATAGCGCAGTTAAACAAATATAAAATTAATAAGATATGCGATTTTAAAATTTATTTTAGTGTTAATGATTTTTATTCGGTGCACAGTTTTTTTTTGTTTTTTTTTGTTGTTGTTGTTGTTGTTTCCCTTTCTGCTTAATTTAAGGAAAGCTCAATTATTTGTTTTCTCTCGTGTATTCAATTTGGCTTTAATGTGAATAGTCTCAAATAATTAGTGTTGAATATATTATCTTTATTTAAAATGGGCTTAAAAAATTGAAATTAGACTTTGAATTACACCCTTACGACGGAGCGTTTTGGAGTAGAAATTATGCTATATGGCTGTTCTCATGAAATACACTCGTCAGATAGAACATGACCGGACGTGGTGACATGGACTGTAATGACATAGGGAGGCTCCAAAATATTTGTAATGTAATGTACTTAATCTCTGTATATTTCAGTATTTAGTATATATGCCTAGTTATGTTCTATATTTAGAACTTTTTTATGTCAATACTTTTTTCTAGTTCTTTTATTCAAAGTTGATGTTAGAAAGGAAATATTTATCAAGTTAAAGAACTAAAGAGAAAATAATCGGTGTATTTGAAATTTAAGTGTTTTCCGAATACAAATGGAAAACTAAATAGTATAACCAAGACAAGGTTTGGTAAAACATTGATTTTTGATACGCTTTAAGCAAATACATTATAAATAAATATTTTTCAGGTCCTTGTTGAAAAGTTGCTTCGTTCATGTTCAGGTGTTAAAAACATCTACGTCTTAGTTAGAGCTAAGAAAGGAAAAGAGCCATGCCAAAGGGTGGAGGAGTTATTGAATGCTAAGGTATCTATTTAACATTTTATGTATGTTTTTGTGAATACATTTTAGCGAATTATCAACTTTTTTGTGTAACACCACATCAAAATCATTCTTAGCTGGAAGTCTCTTCGAGGTCACTTAACTTTGTCAGGGATACTGCCCAGAATTAACTATGTGGATGAAGTTATAAGTAGGTCATTAGGGCTAAATGCTAGGCTTAGGTTAGTATGTAAGGATGAGCAGATTGGCTGGTTGGACTCGTGGGATCAGTTCAGTGGGAGAAGAGAACTTTTTGGAATGGATGGTTTACATTTAAATAGAGTAGAGGCTGGCTTGTTTGCTAAGGCTATTAACTAAGCTGTAAGGGAAGTTTTAAACTAGGACTAGGCAGTGGTGAGAGCCAGGATAAACTAAATGCAAAAATAATAAAAAGCAGAGAAAAGCTTAGCATAGGAAATTAATATAGAAGTAGTTATAAAGATAGGCTTAATTGTTACTATTGTAATGCTAGAAGTATAAGAAATAAAATAGATGACTTTAGAGCGCTTGTAGGAATGGAGGATTTTGATATAATGGGAATAATTGAAACATGGTTAAACATAGATGATTTTGATAAGATAATTTTTTTGAAATCCAGGGTTACAGGCTATTTAATAGGGATAGAGTATTAAAGAGGGAAGGAGGAGTGGCTTTATATGTAAACTGTGAGTTACATCCTGTTAAAGTTGAGGATATCAAAGATAATAACAAAGAGATTGAATCCATTTGGGTTTCTATTAATGAATAAAAAGGGAAAAGGCTTTTAGTG